TGGTAAAATATATGTGTTTGAGGCGTTCGCCTCAGACTCTCACTAGAACTATATTGGATCATCTACTGCTAACAAATGTGTTCTGCCACCCCCTCAGTGATTAGTACAGCTTCCTTCAGCAACATTCAGCAGCTGTGTCAGTATTTTGTATTCAAACAGAACCGGTCAAAAACTTTCCGGTACATAATGCAGTTTCATCAAAACCACAACTTCCCTGGGGGACAAGATCAGTTTTGATATATTTGTGTTGCAAAGCCTCAAGCACACAGATAGAAGTTAACGCAGACAGTAAAACATATCATGGCAGGGCACAACTTTTCTGCAAATTTTGTATGATACAGCCCAGCACTAATCGTACTAAAGCATAGACACAAGGCAGTTCTACGTAAGCCAGGGCTGGGGAATTCCACATGTTTGGGTTAAGCCAGGGATAATTGGAGTGAAGTCTCTGCCCCTTTCAGTCCTGGGCTCGAGAGCTGCCAGATTCGCTTGTCAGCATTTTCTTAGCCATAGCAGCACACAGAAAGGGGTGTCTCGCCACAGCCCAACCTCCGGGTAGCAGCTGGTACGGGATCCTGCCCCACGTCCACGGCCCTGTACTTGCACACAGCTACTCTCACTCGGCACTGGAACCAGCCGGGCACCCGTGCCACTTATAACAGCCCTGTGGTCACTCTGCCCTTCCCAAAAACCCTACTATAAAAGGTCTCACTGCATGTTTCAGTTGTTTTACTTAAAGAACCAAACCAAAACTGGAAATGTGAAATGATTGTTTTTAAACTCAACATCTGACCAAAACCATTCTCTGCTCAGTGAAGAGCGCGGCTCCCTGGAGACACCGCTCTGTGGAGTGACAGCACTGGGGAGCGGTACCACTCTCCTGAGCCGGCTCAAGTTCTTAACACAGTAGTTCAACAACTACTGTAGTCAAAATGGCATGCGTTTTTAGCCGGGCATCTTTGGCTTAATATAACGAATAGTGCCATTTTCTTTTCAATTAATTTCCTTTCTGCTCCTGATTTCCAACCTAATGTACACATTAAAGCCTAGTTGCAATTTCAGAGCAATTGACAAAGCCTGTAATTTTGAGAAAAAACATCTCTGGAGTGAATGAGGGCGAGTCTAAAGATCCGATGTGTCAGTGGTGGCTTGTTATTCATGCAATATGCCTCATCTGCCCTGGATGGGATAGCGTTACATTGATAGACACATTTATTTATTTTATTTTATTTTTTTACTTTAATTGCATGCACTTTCCTTGGCACTTAAAGGTCGATGTTTAAAAAAACATACTGGCATAGGTGGTTAAATGTGGATGCATGTATGTAACTATGTGCTTGAAACACAATCGTGGGACGTTTTAGAAGAAATTAGGGATGCTTTGTACCATAGTGAGATGGTCTGCAGCAAGCTTATGTTTGTGGCTCTTGCATGTTAAATACTTAATAAAGTATTTAAGTATGTAGGTATTGTTCTGTTTTAGGACACCACAGACAAAGAGGTATTTGTTAAAAAGTGAAAATAAGGGCAAGCGTAAACTGTATCTGGGCGTTAAATAAAGAGGGATGTTCCAATGTTGCAGGAAGGGAACCAGGTAAATAACTTTCTGAATCAAATGGAATTTGAAAGAAAAAAAAAAGTGACAGGGTTAGGGTTATTTAAAGGTGAAGTTGCTGAAGCCAAGAGCCAGCGTTGCACTGTCATCTAGTACCCACCTGTAAAGTTTTGTTACAATGCCTGGTAACAATATAAACTGCTGGTTTTATATGATCTGAACAATTTCCATGAGCTTTCCTTGTAAAACAAAGCATTTATTTACCCCATAGAGGCAGGACTCGGTGGCTGCCACCTAATGATGTAGGAAGTTTACAGCCTGAACATAAAATTATGTTTTGATTTCTTGTTTCTTTATAAACTTGCCTGGTTTTAATAGACCATTAATAAAAATGCCATATTTAAAATGTATGAGTGGGATTTTTTCCTTTCTTTTCAGTAAAAGTGAAGAAGATCTGACACTTGTAAACTGAGTTGGCTGTGTAGTGTGGGAAAAAAAGAAATTAAAACAGAGATAATATTTCGGAGAGGTATTTTTAAGACTGTGTCCTTCAGGAAATAACCTCCACCAGATAAAGTATTTGTAAGCAGAATGGAAACAGAGTCTGCAAAAAAAAAGAGCTAAAGAATTTGCCTAAGTGTATTTCTACCTTTCCAAGTAATTAACGCTCTAGTCACTTAATGATTAATAAAATTGTTCTCAAAACACCAAGAATTGTTTCTGAAGCAAATGTACATTATGGCCAGTGTACTTGTTACATTTTAAAGTATTTCAGCTGGTACTTTGCACCAGCATCACACAGCTGTCATCTTCCCCAGCTGTTTCACATTTGGCAAAGGTGTCTTCCTGCAGCCACTCCTGTACCTGAGTACACGCAGGTGTCTTCTGTGGCACAGAAGAACAAACAGCATGTGGAGAAGAGGCTGGGAGGCAGCTCGGCCGTCTCCAGATGGCCACGCAGCCAAGCCAAGAGGTCAAACTCCTCTTAGCCTCAATGGAGAGAAATGGGCCTCCGAGATGCATTTCACATGACCTCATTTTACGCGTAACAGCTTCGGTAGAGACAAGGTTCCTCTGCAAACGCACATTTCTTCGCTGTGCTGAGGAGAGTTTGATCAGTGGTGCAATCCGCACCATCAGGCACCTGAAACGCCCGTCCCGTTTTCTCTCAGCTCTTCTGCTCTGAATTCCAATTTTCTTTTTTTCCTGAAACAGCTTCAGTATTCTAACCCATTCTGACTACAACAAGGTCTCGCTGGAAGAAAGGTACTCCCAAACACAGTAAGATTTCCAAATCTGACAAAAAGCCTTTCATTTCAATACACATTTATTTGCATATGTATCTGCTTAAAAATAGACTCTGAAAATGTGTTTTCAGAGGGGACAGGGACTGGCAAGTCATCCAGTGCACTCTGTGCTCTAATCATTGCCATGAACTCTGAAGCTATAAATAGCTCTGCAAGTTCAGCAGAGTCATGAGTCACAGGCACCTATGGACTCTGAGAAAGCAAGGACAGGGAGCCGTGAGGTTGATGTGCCTACAGCCAGACACCTGGCCCCGAAAGCCACAGTGGCTTACGCAGGTTTTTTGACATCCTGAGCTGTTTTCAACAACTCTGAAAGCAAAAGAATTGATGATGAAAAGCAAGGTGGTGAAATGATGGGAACGCTCCTAAAGGCGGACACCAGCTTCTCGGAAGGACTGCCTCAAGCGCCTCTGACCTCTGCTTGTATCAGCTGCAGAATCACGGTGGAAGCGTGATACAGAGGACGTCATTGCCATATGAAATCAACTTCCCATCTAATAAAAGAAAATTACCAACTACCATTCTTTTAAAAGCTATTTTATTTATCTTAAGAGAAACTGATTAGTTGTATAAAATATTATCATACATTTGATGTAAAGCCTTCAGTCTCTTTGAACAAAAAAATACGTTGTCACAGTAAAGAAATAACAGATCTGCTTAGGTACTGGACTCTCTAACGTCACCCCTCTGGCCAAAGGATCATGGAAGAACTTCAACGGCTGTAATGGACCTTACAGTCAGTGTACCCCAATGTCAACATACATTCTGTCTGTAAAACTGCAAAAAGTGAGAAAATAAACATAAGGTACTCTAACATTTCTGTACATTTTTCAGGAAGAAAGTTGAAGCCATGTTGAGACTAAAAAAATAACTCAATTTTATTTTAAAATTCATTCACAAATCAGTGTGCTGTTCATAGAATTTTTGGTAACTCTGGGATTAGCTTCCATTCAACACAAGAACTGATCATTATGTACTAGTGTAAGTATTCTAGGTTCAGCTAAACCATTTCTAAATAAGCTACCCGGAGAAGATGCGGTTTTTAAAATGTTTGTGTAATGAATAGCATGCTTTTCTACTATAACTGTTTTAATTTAAGTAGCTGCGAAAGCTTAATTTCATTAAAATGGGTAATGTTAAAGTAGAACTTCATTTACTTACTGAAATCTCAATCCAGTGGAAGTAAAACATGTGCTTTCCTTAACTGGGTATTTTGCAAAGCCTTTGTCATTGCAAGAAAAATTCCAGTATCTGAATCAGTAACTTCCAAAAAAGTTTTGAGTTAGGTATTTTTTGTTGTTGTTTGGGTTGTTGTTTTGTGAGGTTTTTTTGTGTAGTTGTAACAGTTCACAAGTTGCCTATTAAATTCTGCCTTTTCAGTAAAATAAGGCAGACTGATTTTCCCAACGTGGGCTCATCAAGTTCAGCGTTTGTGCAGCGGCGGCAGGAAGGGCAATGGGAGGTACCCCGTGCTTTTAGAGACCAGGCTACTCCTACCTGGAACCCAACTGGAGCCACGCACCTTTCAGCTACGGGAAACAGGTTTGGTGCCCGTTCCTCAAGCTATTTGGCTTGGCTACAGTGAGGTCAAAATTTGAAGAAATCAAACAAATTCTACACCATTAGAATTTTTGAAGTCTTATGCGTACCAGGTGGGATGTACGTTTGGGGTTCTTTTTTCTTAATAATGAGATTTTCCAAGATAAGAAAGTGCACATACATCAAGTACTCTGCACATGGGAAGAAGCTTCAGCTTCTGGCAGGAATCTCTGTGGGATTCATATTCCATGAAATTCAAACTGATGGAAAGTGTAACCGCCCTCCCAAATTACACTGGGGTGAGAACTGGGGAAGGAAAACTACAAAACGCTAAGTCTTGGTTTCAGTAGTACGGCTACATAATGAGCTCGCTTTGAATTCAGGTTGGACTTCTGACATGAGGCCCTGACTTTGCAAGGTCTATGACTGCTGTGCAGTTTAAGTTAATGGGAATTTGATGCGCTAATTATATACAGAGACAGAAATCTTTGCAGTATCTGGCCCCTCATTTTCAAAATTTGCAAGTAATGACAATCTAAAAACTGAAAGCTAAGAAACAAAATTAGTGCATTTCAAATCATTCTAGCTAACATTTTTGTCTTTAGACAGCAAAATTCAATCCAAGTAGACTGAATTGGCTTAAATCAGTAATGCTGCAATAGGAAACTAAAACACCTTCCAAGTCTGTTTTTAAAATACTCAAAAAAATATATAAATTAAATTCAGTGGCTTACGTTGTATATATGCTACATCAAAAGGCAAAGTATCATGAAAAACATTTTTAAAAGTCCAAATGCTTTCAACTAGCAGTTCGGAATAAAAAGCAACTAAAAAAGCAACTCAGTTAATGAAGGCTGTAAAACAAAAACAATCTAGGAGGGTCTGCAGTGCAGCCCCTGGTCCTGAGAAGAATCTCACTTTTCTTCACTGGCTGAGGTATCGTTTCCATCGTTCAGTTTCTGCTTTTGCATTCTTGTTCGAGTAGATGCTAAAAAAAAAAAAAAAAAAAAAAGAAAAAACAACCACAAAATAAGAACGAAATTAAATACTGTCTTCGGAATTACTTTGGACGTGATTATTTATTGTAAAAATTTACCATGACACAATAGAAGTACACTATTCTAAATAAAACAAATCCCTCATTTTAAAATAAACAGTTCTGAGTTGCTTCAGCAATTCTCGCTCGATCTCACACACGTTAAGAAATTCATTCCCCCTGTTCACTCAAGTTCTCATGGCTTCTGTACCATCACTTTGTTTTCATCCTCACGGTGGGCAGGTGGACTGCATCACCTCGGCATCTCGTCTCCTTGCCAGGCAGATGCTGTGGCTGAGCAGTGCCCGCATCCCAGAGCCGGCCTGCCCAGGAAATGCCCTTTTCCCTCCAGTGACACACACTATCACAACTGGACGTGAGATATAACATCCCTCTTTAACCTCTGCCACAAGTAAACACCAAAACATTTTCCCTACCCTAAAACAAAGGAGAGGTGCCTGGATCCATACTCATTCCTATCGTGATGAGGAAACACTTGCTAGGTGAGAATTTTTAATGCAAATCTGCTCAGCTGCAGAGCTGAGACTCTACCAGAGAGTGAGAATGCCTGGTCAGACCAAGCGTGTTCCTTCTCAGGAGTGGAAAATACAACTCGGATGTGGGGACGGGGCTGTTTTGCCTTTCGTGAGCTAGATTTGACTTTCATTTGAAAAACAGAAAAGTGATCCCATAAAATCTGAAAGAAATGCTGATCTCCAGTAGAAGAAAAAGCAGTCTCAGGCATTTTACTATGAAAGACAGCAAAGCAACGTACAAAATCACATACCATTTTTCTGTGTATATAATTTTCCGTTACTACACTGTAATCAACTAAAAAGGTGTTCTGGTCAACTAAATGCTGCTGCCAATTACTACTGATTTCTACCTGCAAGCTCTCAGCTAAGGGTCTGTCATTACAACAAATAGGGAAGGCCTTGGCAAGCATTTAATTCCATTTCAAAAATTCTAGTGTTTAGGAAGAATGTGTCATGCTCATTTTCTTATTCACATGTAATAAAGCATCTTCTACGCTGCTGTGCCATTTAACACCCTCAAAAAGGCTTTTGAGGATTTCCATTTTCTAACCTGCATTTTCAAGATGAAGTGGTGCAAGTACAAAAAACTAAGCATGTTATCGAAATGACATCAGTGTTGAACAATGTCTTCATCTGAGCGGGCACAAATTGTTTTATCCAAGGCACTCACTGCTGTGCAGTTAACAAAAAAAAATAATACTCACTCATTTCTGCAAGCTTTTGTTGGAACTTGGACTCCTGGGGTAGGTGTTTGCTGCAGAGAGAAAGCAGATGGTTAAGCAAAAGTTTAAAAAAAAAAGAGCCCCTTTTTATCCTCATAACCTAACTTTAAATCAAGATTAGTTCATTTCACTGGTATCGCCTTCTCTTACAAAGATGCAAACTCTTTTTTTGTCCACAGTAAACTCCAGAGTTGCTTGATTTCTCATATGTCTAAAAGAAATTTGGGGTTTGTTTTTTAAAAGACTGACTAAAGACAACAGCATGGCTCAGCACTCAGCAGTAACGCTGGGATGCTGGATGTATAAGCACTGAATAAATCCTTGCTTCTGACATCAAAGCGTCTCATTGAGAAGTGTTATGGTACCATCTCTCATTTAATGTATTTACTAAAGTTCACAAATGAATAGAAGTCAGGATGTCAGGAAGAAGTTGGGACGGAAGGCCCTGAGAACCAAATATATGTAAGATTACAGAAAAGCCAAGAACAATCCCTCACCTTCCATCTGCTTCGTCTTGCCCTTCTATATCAAAGCGCAGCCTCTTCAGTGGCTTAGGAGCAGCGCTTACTTCTGCGCTGCGTTTCAGCTGGCAGTCACTGTTGCACACCATCTGATTTATTTTTTGAAACTTTTCAGAAGTCTGAAATTTCAAGAAAATAAGGAAAGGGTTACCTATAAATCCTGACAGTACTCAAATTTTCCAGATCATCCACTAATAAAAAAATAAATCAGGAATTCTAGAATTCCGCAGTTTAAAGAACCCTTATCTTCATTCAAAGCAACTAAAATGAAATGCAAGACATTTAAAAGTGAGGTCTAGATATTTGAAAGGAGTTAACAGGACGCCCCTGTAATATTTGTGCTTACAGATTCCATAATATACCACATTAAATTAGAGACATTTAACTGGCCAGTTCTACAGGTGTCAGCAAGGTATCTCCATTCCTCCAAAAGTTATGTGTATTCAAGACCAGACATTAAAAATGTTAAAACTCACCCCAAATGATTCACCAATCGACACCAAAATTCTGCCAAATGAAGAAGAGAAGTATTTAAGATTAAGCTCCATTTAACAATGATAGAAGAATCCACTAATTTGCACAGCTTAGCATAAGACATTAACAAAGTCTCTTCCCCTCTCTCTGCATTTATAGTGCAAATCCATACTACGCTTTACTGTGTTGAGACCGGTCACGTTTCTCTTTGGGCCACCGAATGCTGAATCACCAAATCAACCGTACCACACAGACAGAAAAGAAACTGTGGCTCGAAGAATCAGAGGCCCCCACAGTCTGCCCCTTATCATCAGGAAGACACTTCTGTGCTGGGTACTGAGATAATCATCCTTTCATCATTACATTTATGTGTTTGCTAATTGAAACCATGCAGGACTTCAACCTAAAATATACAATAATATTCTAACTTTTGCACACAGTGGCCCAGATGCAATGAGGCTCGCTTGATCCTAGTTTGAAAAGCCCACTGGAGACTTGCACATCTGCTGTCATCCTTGTCTTCAAAGAACTAGTGACCAACAGTTTGAAATGTTCTGCTCAGTCAACTAAATACTCTGAACCATTTTGTTCCAAAAAAAGTATTTTCTCTTTAAACAAATGTACAAAGCTCATCTATGTTTTTCCAGAAGTGTGATCCAGACTCAAAGCCAAAAACATTTAAACAACTAGGTCAGAAACCCCCTCTTGGATGTGACTATTTAAAAAAAAAAACAAACCAACCCCGAAACAAACAAACAAACAAAAAAAGCCCACAAAAAAACCCCAACCCAAATCTCCTTGAGCACACTGACTCAACTGAAACAAAAAAGAGCTCAAAGATGATTAAAGATTCCAAATACGGGACACAAACTTTTAACCAGAAAAGATATAAGAACCACGGACTACGGACAAACTAGACTGCAGTTTTCTAACTTGCTTCCACTAAAATCCCTAAAATTCCTTTAATTTAGTCAAAGAAATGCTTGTCAACCACCTACCTAGACCTTGGAGTCATCTTTGTGGGCGACTGAAACCCGTCGGAGAATTTATATGGGCTCTTCAAGGGTGAGATGTAGATGTTATTGCCAGCAGGGACACGCCGAGGAGAGTTGGAAAACTGGTAAGGGCTGCGAGGAATGTGTGGGATAGGTGACAGAGTGGGAGGCTATAAAAATAATAAAATAATCATAAGGTTTTATTGTCTCTATACTCCTAGTCTATTAAATAATTAATACTAAACACAACTAGCAGCTTACCCTGTTGGAGGCATACTGCAAAATGTTTGTTTTCAGCTTCTGCATAAACACTAAGTTGTAGAAGACTATAATGGAGTCGTACTGTTCCTCCCTGATAAGAACACGTTTGAAGGTCTGTGGAGGGGGAGAAAATCACACACAGTAAAAAAAAAAAAAAAAAAAACCAAAAATCAATTTTACATAAAAACTCATAAAGCCATTCAAAAAATCTGTGTTAGATACAAGCTAAGATGGCACTTGTATTGCATGTGAGCCATTGTAACCACTATTTAGAACTGTTTCAAATGGTTTCTTTTTTTCCGAACATGTATGAACATCAGTAGAGGCACCTACTTAATTAACCCTTAGTGAGAACCCAGTTCATCAGTACTTTCACATCTTCCAAATTTAAGCTTTCACACATACAATTGTCAAAAAGGGGCTTTGCTACTGTGCACACCTTGCAAGGCTAAAAAAAAATTAATTACTGACTTGATGTGGATAGAATAGTTCTTTACGCTTGGAGACGTAACTCTGGAGTTTAGCCAAGATGCAGAAATACACTCTTTGAGAAATTCTGCTACTAAAAGGATGCCTGCAGTTTACTTAACTGCCTGATTGTTTGATTTTATTATCATTTTGTACAAAGATTTAAGTACAGTAAGGCCTTAACAAAGAAAGGAGCTTCTTAGTGTCAGAATTAAGCCTACAACTTTAATCCATACGTATCTGTTTGATATACAACTATACATATCTATTTGATAACTTATTTCTATTGAAAGCTTCTACAGAAAGTTATCTGCTTCCCTTCCCTTAACTCTAAGTTAAGGGGAACTTGGGTTGTCTTTGAAAATCCTATTAGCACTAGACCTGAATCTTTCATCCGGTCTCCAAATAGAATCATAACCCATTATTTAGCATCTTTAAGTAAAAATTGGAATGAAGTTTGCTTTCTGAGGAGAGTTACCAAACTATTTGTGCAAGATGTTTAGAGAGACATTTAGTATTAGAGACAGTTTGCTCCTCCATAAAATGGAGATACAGTGAAGCAGAAGTTTTCTTTTGTATGTTCAGGTGTAGTTTGGGTTTTTGTTTTAGACAAACAGAGAGAAACAATTAGTTTCTAACATGTTTATGGAGGGATAACATTAAAGAATCTCCATACCTCTTGGTTTGTGTTGGGAAGCTCCTTGTATGCCGAAACTATTATTTTAAATCGAAGATCTACATTCTTTACTTTGCATATGCCATACATGGAACACATCATGATCTGTTAAAGAAACAAGACAAGACAACTGGGAATGAGAAAATTAATTAAGCTTCTCCATTTCAAATTAAGAAACCAATTGACGAGCTTTCTAGTGTTGACTGTGGTCTGTAAACTAGCATGCAACGCAACTTCATAAGAACTTCCAGAGCAAAAGTCGACTACTGTTCCCTCCACTTCTGTATGACAATCAACTGATTGGATCTGATGGTATTTTCTCAAACTCATTTCACATGCTGCAATTTTAGAGCAGAATAACAAAACATTTATCAGCCACACATGTTGTCTTCCCAAAGAAAATCAATATTTTTTATGTAAATTGTTAGAAAATTTGGTGTGTCTTCATTATTTTGAAAATAGCCATAAATGGTATTTGAGGACCCCGTAGTAACTGCCAGTACCTAAACTGAGGTGATAGACTTCACTCTAATTTCATTTTTCCTTTGAGTGGTCAATAAAGAAATAACTTCTATTGACTAAAGGATGTATAAGGAACATTTTGCTCAGGAAAGTATTTTTAAAAATTTTGAACTTTTTTGTTAAATGTTACCTGGTCCAAGTGCCTGTCTCTCATAAGTTCATACTCATTTTGCAGCGTGTGCTGGAAGAGGGTCCAGATCAAGGGTTCCAGGTCAGGATGTTCAGAGAGAAGCCGAAAGAACAGGGTACGTAGTCGAAGATAGGCCAGTAGATACACTTCAGAGACAGAGAAGAAAAATAAGCTGAAATTGTAATAATAGGGGTATACGAAATAAAAGGAACACAATGGAGAATGGACAGCAATTGAACGTTCTCCATCTCCCACTACAAAGACCATGAGCCAAAGGAAGGTAGTAGAAGCCAGATTCAAAATAAATGGAAAAGATACTTCATACAACAGGCAGTGGACACACAGAAGTCCACAGCAAACAATGCTGTTCATGTATGTCCACGTCGATTCAAAAAGAGTCTGAACAAGTATTTGGAATGTGAATCTACTGAGCAGACACATCTCAAAAGGCTCAGGAAAAACCCTGAGCTGGCGAAAGTCAGAGCTTGGGAAAGCATTCAGGGGAAGCACCATATAAGTTGGCCCAGTTCTTAAGCTTTCCATGACGTCTATTTATGGTCACTGCTGGAAAAAGAATGCTATGATAGCAGAACCCTCCATCTGAGCACATATGGCCATTCTCACAATCTGTAGATAAGTTTTCGGTTCGAACTTGCAGCGTGTAAAGTGCACGCATTAACCTGCTGGCACTGTTTTACTGTTTCTCCAGAGGCAGCTGAGGGTTTGCACGGTGTTTACTACAGATTCTATTATAACCTTTTAAAAAATCTTGAGCTCCAAACCCCCAAAAAGGATAAATAACAAAAGATAACTTTGCAATTTCAGTATATACGGAAGTAACAAACCTTTTTTGTAGAACAGAGAGAGGGAGGTAGATTTCTGTGGTTTCTGTGTTTGGGGGGTCACAGCTGGCTGAGCATCTGGAGTGGAAGTACCACTTGCATGAGGTCCAGATGCTTTCTTCTTAGGAGATCTCACAGGAGAAAGATAGCTGGAGATTCAACATATATTAAGCACTTAACATCACAGGATAAAGGAACAATTTTTTATGAATAATACTTGCAGGAACTCTTCCCTCTTCTCCCATTAAAAGAAATTAATTGCCACCATAACCTGTCATTCCCACATCAGGAATTAAAAATTCAAGTTATTGATTAAATACCTCATAAAAGGACTTATTTATTCCCAGGCAAGTAAGATAACAGTTTGCAAGTACAAGTTTGATAGGGCTTGGAAAAAAACATTTCAGAATTTGATTTAGCTAAATTTACATGTATAATAAGCAGCAGCAAATACAACAGTTTGACATAACTGAAGTACCAAGCCTAACAAGTAGGAAAACAGAATACAAGTGGATTCAAATATTAAGGGCAATATTAACTTCCCATTTTACTAGACCTCAAGCACGCATGCCACTTACAGGTCTGCTGCAGTGTGATTATGTTGGAGAGGCAGATTGAGAGTGGAAGTGGGCTCAGGCTGATCAGTTTGGCCTTCTCGTTCTTTTGACTGCTTGATAAGATCGAACAGAGGTGACCCCTAGAGAAACGACAGTAACAGTACATTTCACTGAGAACAGACAACCGCACTGGATGGATTTTGTTCCTTCTTCTCTAAAAACAACCCCCAAAATACGATCCTAAACAGAAGATTAACGCTTTGAAATACTTCACAATGCTCATGTTTTGCCAGATAACTCTTAACTTTTTAACTGGCAAACTTTAACTATTAAATACACCACTTTTTCTGTTTCAATAGTGGTCCATTAGACACAGGCCAACTGCAGTGTTGAGATATAGTTGTATTCTAGAGTCTCCTATTAAATAGCCATTCCTGAAAAGAAGAGCGAATAATACGAGAAAATACGTAAAAGGTCACATTTCAAAAAAACAACACAAAACAACAACTTGTTGGTAACTGAAAGTTACAGCTGTACCTAGTGTCAATCCATTTCTGCTACGACATCTACCCAATATTTCACATATACACTTCAGAGACAGAGAAGAAAAATAAGCTGAAATTGTAATAATAGGGGTATACGAAATAAAAGGAACACAATGGAGAATGGACAGCAATCTACACAAAACACGGTTGTAACTCATCTAACTGCACTGGGGACTATTTTGATCTCTGCAGTATCATGTTCCAGAGCTACCTCTGACAAGAGTTATAGTCACTCTGGATGCATTAAGTCTCTGCCCTCATGGCCAAAAACAAAACCCATTTTGATTTTAGGTCAGTTATCAGTGCTTTAGGCACGGAAGCTGGAAGAAGTCTGAACCTACTGAGAGCTTGAGGTAGGAGGCGATGCAGAAAGGATGTAAGTGGAATGGAGAAGGTTCTGGCAGAAGCAATACTAATCCTACTGCTGACATTAGTAATAATGGCAGTTTTGCAGAAACAAAATCTCAGGCTTTTGCTGCTTGTGTGTCACGTACAGAGTAGAATTATGCTGAGACAGCAAGACTGCATGGGAAAACACTTTGGCACCGTATTTATAATTAATTTTGAAAACACGGGGTTGCTGGCTTCTGGTTTGGTTTTTTTTTTATTTTCTTTCAACAGGAGACTCATCCTTCAGCACAATGTTGCCTTCCAACAGTGCAGCATCAGAAGTCCAGAAGCAACAGAAGAACATTTGATTAGCAAATATCTGCTTTTTCAGGGGGAAAGCAGTGTCCTTAAGACTGGGAATGAAGTGCGAAGAACCAAACATTCAGTGTTTTCCTCCAAATGATCTCCCAAAAGACAGCAGTAAAAATCAATCAGCTCAACACTTTGTACATAATACACTGTCCAATTGTCTGAGGTTTATTTGATGCTACAAATGCGTGATACTAATATTAAAATACGATGGCACAGATGACAAATCTGTAGCTACAATAACAAACAGGAGCACAGCACACATGTAAAGCAAGCTTCATCACCCTGGCTAAGGCACTAAGAAAAGGCCTAGAAAAACTAGGCTAGATTTACTAGAATTAAAACTTTCCTCATTTAGCCTTACTTCTAAAAAAAGAAACCCTTTTCATGTGCATCAACTAAAAATTCAGAGTAACAAGATGAGGGTGACTTGAGATTTACAATGTCTCACATTGTGTAATTTTTAAATTACAATTCTGGCAATACAGGAGCTGTTCCATCCATAACAGAAAAACATTGGTTACTGACTCATAACCACATAGTTATTTCTCCATCATTTCTCAACCAGATCAGCTCTCCGGTTGGTTTGCATCATCTTCCCCTGGACTTAGGAGTGCATGCACTTGCCATTTGCTTCTTTCAGCTCTTTGCTGGAAATGCAGAGACATGATGTTCTCCGTTTCTCATTCTTCCGGTCACTTGGCCTCTTCCTTTTTATTATTCTCATCAGTGTTTCACTAGGATCTGAAGAATCAAAGTTTCTTTCCCAGAGCAATCACTAATTCATTGCTGAAACATCTCCTCCTTCCTTGACTAAGAGTGAATCCCGCTTCATTCATTTCCCATTTTAGCTATTAATGACTGGGAAAGTATTGTTTTTAATGAAGCATCAGTAGGAGGAAAAGGGGTTGATAAGGGGAATGAGAGGTCGAGAAACAGAAGCAAAAGTTACTATTTCTGAAGTCAGCACTTGAGATCAGCAGTTCCAGGTCTTCTCTCAACCCTGCTCTGATTTTCAGTACACAGAGTGCGATTTCATTAGATAAGGTGAGAGGGGACATCAGCTTGCTACCTATGGAAGGGACCTGCCTACTTCTGCACCATTTCCACCCCTCCTCTTCTACTTGCCAGCCTTGACAGTCAACCTCCACATAAGTCAATTTGATGCACTAAACTAGCAGAAAGTTAACAGAAAAAGCAAAACCAGATTTAAGCCACCTCTGCAGAGAATCACTAGCAGAGCCAGAACAGGCATTAAGGAAAGTCAGAGCGGCAACACCACGAAGGTTGGGAGCAAAGCAGGAAATGGGTAGTCCGAGATGTCCTGCGTTTACTGACAACAACCCATTCAATCAGCTGACTGGCGTGGAAAACCTTACCCTACAGAAATTTATGAAACCTACTACTGCTTGCCATCAGTTAGCAGAAATAGTTACCAAGAGGATATTCTTTGTGTAGAAACATCTACTTATAGAGACCAAGCAGCAAGACACAGCGAGTCCGATACATCTTTTTTGGCTCCCTCAAATGCTAACTGACACTGTGGTTAAAAATGTGTCAAGATAAACAGAGTGTTGTCACCCAGCTGGTCCCCAGCAGCGCAGACCAGCCAGCATCAGCGATGGAGGGATGTGTGAAACCACTGACTCAACACGTGCCCTTGGGTAAATTCATGGTCGCGTTGCCTACCCCGACTGCAGGAACTTTGTTAGCGCTGCAGTTCCATGAGCAGAAGGAAGAGTTTATTTAATTTTCAGACCCGGTGAAATTTAAGGAGAGCGTTCTGCTGTTCACAATTTCCACCTTACAGCTGAGAGAACTTCATCTAAAGTCCTCCGTGCACTCTTCCCAGGGACCTCTACCACTCTTGCTGGTAGCTTTCCAAATGCACAGCCGCATAGATGGAGAAGAGAAGTAAGTGCTACGCCGATGAGACTGGTGCCTCGCAAAAAGCCGCAAGTATACTACTATGCAGAAATACACAGAGATGAGTTTTCTCAAATGTATCTACCCCACACACTGCAAAATTGGTGGGTTTAATTACAACCTTGCCTCCGTTCTTTATATTTAAACATGAAAAAGACTTCTGTTTCGTGAATCTGAAGCGCAATCTGCAGCTTGCAGGGAGTTTTCAAGGTTATCAGGGCAAACTCTTAGTTTAACTTAACTCTTAGTTTAACTTAGTTTAACTCAAACTTTTAGTCCCACTACTTGGTATTCAACAATTTACGTCTAGCTCAAATAATCAAAATATAATGTCATTAACCAGCCAATTGCCAGTCCTCTAAGTAATAGCCACAAAAGAACTTTAACCCCCAGGTCCAGCTTTATCTAACAGAAATGTTTATCAGTAACTTGTTTCTAAAGCAACATTATTCACACTATCTTTTACAAATTTTATATTGCTTTGTAAAGCTTTTAAGCAGCACTTTGGGTTAACAGGTCACCTCCAATGCATTCCTTTCACATGAAAGTAGTTTTGCAGTTTTTACTTTAATTTAAAGCTCAGTAATTAATGTTACTAGCTACATCAACAGAATACATTTTACTAATCAAGTGAAATGCTGCTTTTCATCTGAGACTTCCCTGTGATGGCTAGAGAGGCCCCATTTTATTAGTCCAAAAAGGAGAAAGCAATTAAGGCCTAATATTTCTCAGGGTCAAACAGCCACTGGCGTCAGAATGAAGAATAAGAATGAATTTGACTGGGTCCTCTCTCACACTACCCAGGGCGAAGTATAACTCTGCAACGCTAAAGTCTGTGAATTAAGCAGGGCTTCATTAAGGGAGCTTCTGCAGGATCCTCCCCTGCAGCAACACCTGCATCATGAGCATCTGCAGTGATTTTTCCCACTCTGAAAGCTCCTTTTATGGACAAAACAGGCAGACTTTCTTGTTGGTTAATCTTTATTTGGCTATGGGGAAACTACAGGACACACAGGTGCTTCCCAGCTTCCTGATCTTTACATCAGCTCCGTTCCAACAACATGTTTAGCTGGACTTTGGTTTCCATGAAAAGATTAAACAAAAGACTTAAATCCTTAAATACGGGGAACAGCTACCCTGGGGTTTGGGTGTACTCCACTGACTACAAAGGAAGTCCCTCAGCAGCTTTACTCTCAGCAGTGCTAATTAGCAGTTCGCACTATTTTAAAAACTGCTTTTGTCTTTTTCTATTGCTTTATGTTTTTATTCTTTATAATAATTTCCTAATTGAATTTTAGGTTTTAGTTCTTTGTCCACAATAAACTTTAATGAAGTGTTTATCTCAATGCCAAGTTATTTGGGGTTTTTTTGGTTTGGTTTGGGGTTTTTTTGTTTGCTGGTTTTGGGGTTGTTTGTTTTTTTTTTTAAATAATCAACATCACCTCAAGTTATTAAATCAGTCAATACAATACATGGCATTAAGAAATGAATCTAGTTGGAGGTTAGTAACAAGTGGTGTCCCTCAGGGGTCAGTACTGGGCCCAGTTTTGTTCAACATATTCATCAATGATCTGGATGAAGGGATAGAGTGTACCATCAGCAAGTTTGCTGATGACACAAAACTGGGAGGAGTGGCTGACACGCCAGAAGGCTGTGCTGCCTTACAGCGTGACCTCGCCAGGCTGGAGAGTTGGGCAGAAAGAAATCTTATGAAGTTCAACAAGGGTAAGTGTAGGGTACTGCATCTGGGGAGGAATAACCCCATGCACCAGTACAGGTTGGGGGCTGACCTCCTGGAGAGCAGCTCTGTGGAGAGGGACCTGGGAGTCCTGGTGGACAACAGGATGACCATGAGCCAGCAATGTGCCCTGGCGGCCAAGAAGGCGAATGGCATCCTGGGGTGCATCAAGAAGAGTGTGGCCAGCAGGTCGAGGGAGGTCATCCTCCCCCTCTACTCTGCCCTGGTGAGA